GAGAGAGAGAGAGATAGAGAGATAGAGAGATAGAGAGCAATAGCTTTATCCAAGTTAATAAATATTTTTCTTTCGATATTTATCATTTATAAGCAATCATTTATATTTGACGATATTAAAATCTATTAAATAAGCTATTAAAAATCGTAGGCACATCAACGTTCGTTCCCATTCGCAACATTCGATTGTCAATCGCTAATCATGACAACGTCATTAACGATCTAACAGGGCTTTAATTTAATTTTAATTTTAATGCCGGTATTTGGCACTTTCTTAATCGTTGATATTAATGGGAAAGCGCAGGGCAGCGCGCGCATATCGATCTCGAGCGAATGCTCAGCAGTACAGAGCGAGGAGCTCAATTACGCTCGGATATCGTATTACGGGGTGAGCGACGGTGATGCCGGGGGCGCAATATCACCCGGGAGTCGGCGAACGCTTCCCGGTCACGTGGCCTTCCCAATTACGCTATCTCTTGTCACCGGGTCTTTGCGACCTTGGACGATTTCGCGGCTCCTGCTCGTGACATATTAGTCGGGAATTGGCGACGACGCTTCCAATTTTCGCTTACCGCCTCCGAGGATGAGTGGCTTTGAAAGCGGACGCACCTGCGCTCTTACTCGCACCTCTTGCATCACGGGAATTGGAAGCCGCCCGGGTTTTGCCGCCGCCCCTTTTGTTAATTATCGAGCGAGCACCGCGGGTTTTCCAATGCCTCCGACCCGGCCGCCTTTGTCTAGGCGTATTCGCGCGTCCTTGCAAGCTGGATTCTGCGGCCGTGCTTTAATCGATCCACTTGTCTTGCGCTCAACGTTCTTCTTGTTGCGGTAAAGCAGTATTTTTAATCGACAATTTGTTTATTGGGAGGTCGGATATGCGTGGCCGTGAATCGATCTCAATTCATATGCTCGTATTATTTATTTTGCATTAATGTTAATTAAGACTTAGACTTGGTATTTAGAAAATAATTTACCGCGTTGCGTTAAACGACATTGTTGACGCAACCATTGATAGGAGACGGTAGTTGCTCGTTTTACTAATTCATAATGATGAAGAAAAGACATTTCATGTGCGGAAATTATAATTAATAATACTGTCGATAATTCAGGTAGGCTTGAATTTTTGTTAAAGCACAAAAGTCTTACATAATTTCACATTGGAAATTATCGGATGGGATTGATTGACATTGATCGATTAAGAGCATAATAGAATTTATCATTTTACGTTAAAGACGTAAGGTACTATATATAACGTCAAAAAAAAAATGATTACATACATTGGAGATTGGTGATTTTCTCTTTCAGACAACAACAACAACAACAACAACAACAACAAAACAGAAAAAAGATAAAAAAAATTTCCATTTACAAAGCCATAAAGAGGCTCGACCAATACCAATATGCTAATTATTGCTCGAGTAACATTAATTATACGGATGCGTTGCGCTCTTAAAGCTCACTTGATTCAATCGACTTTTAACAGTCGTTACCTCCACGCTATAAAGAACGTCGACCTACCGCGCTCCCTCGAATTATAAACGAATAATAGTCATAAACGAGTACACTGTAGCAGCATTTGCTATCGCCTACCGGTTATGCGCAATCAAGCCAAACAGTCGCGTATTGGTAGGGTGGGACGGTTAAGGGGGCCGCGCCCAGAAAACAATGGGAGAAGATTAATAAAATTCCGTGCACTTACCACTTGTGTACAGAGTTCGGACTCATCGCAGGACGAACGGGTGTTTTCGGAGGTGTGCGCGTACCGCGTTCCCATACGCAAGAGAAAATACGCGCGATCGTGCGCGAGTTGAACGCGGGTTAGAGGAAAGCTGAGGGTAGTCCGGTCACCTTGGCAACCGGAGGTGTATAGCATCGGCATTCGTATATAAACAGACGAGTCTAAGGGGCTGTTATGTCAATATCTCGACGAGGTTACCACTCTTTATGCCGCCTGTCGAAATCACTGTGTTGCCACTGCGGACAACTGCCTCATCCTCCCCGCCTCCTCCTCCTCTTCGCGTCCCAGGCCGCACCACCATACCTCTCGCGCAACTTAAAAGTGCCTGTAACAGTCTAATTTCATCGCGAGCCCTTACGCATATTTACCGGGGTAGCCTGCAACGGAGTTTCGTCTTTGTTTCGAATGATTGCGCGAGATAAGGATGCAATATTTTTCCGGATTATTTACATCCCGGGTGATTCATCGGAGAAACGAGAAAAAAGCGGCTGTTGACTCGTTACAATACTGTACTAGGAACTGCGGCGTTGTAGTACTTTGGCTAAATACTTGCTAAAAGCGCGAGATGGCTGCCTTAAAAATAAAAATATTATTGAGTCAATAAATAAACATTTTATCGAAGGCGAACGAGGCAAGTTATGGCTCTTTAACACATTCGACAAAGTTAATGCAATGCACGTGCATACGCACCCACGCGTTTAAGTATCATGTACTGTCATCATACAATCATCACACTGACCTTCGATAATACGTTGTGTATTATATATACATAAGTATATATATATATATATATATATATGTGTGTACATACATAAATATTTATTAAATATGTGATATTAACGTCTTTCGTTTCCTACATGTACTGAGTATTACCTTGAGAATTTACAACGACTCTTAAGATTAATACTGACAAAAAAAAAAAAAAAAAAAATAAAAATAAAATATACGTATATGCAGGAGCTATTTACATTGGAAATATAAAATATCCGAAATAAATAAATAATTACCATATCGTGAATTACAATGAAAAATGTGTAGAATTGCGAGACTTGATATATTCGTCGCTTAACGGCACTTGGATTTTATTAGCATTACCGGCGAATTTGTTTTCCTTTCAACCGACAAAACATCTGTCTTTAGAAATATTGTGTAACGATGTTGGTGGTCAAGAAAGTGGATCGATGCCGATGAAGCAAAATACAAGCGCACTACTACACTTTCATCAATGACCGAATCACGCGCCAATAGCACTCGCAGTGCGATTCAAAAACTTTGACATCTCAGTTATATAACAATAAACGGGTGAGAAATTTTTCAAATTCCTTAATCGATGAAAAGGCGTAGGTGAACTGTGTTTGTCCATTGTATGATTTAACGGTGCATCGCGCAGATATTGATTGATCTTCGTAGCGCAAGTTTGTATCGTTGGGAAAATTGTGACGATATGTTGATCTGCTTGGTCGGTAAATGGTTGCCACGGGAAATCGATGTGAAGAAATTGAACATAGTATTTGTGATTTTAATTGTGATCTGTGGCTGGTTAGTATTCAGATGGTGGCGAGTCCAGAGACGCTGCCTGAAGCATCTGGCGGAAATTCCTGGTCCATTTGCTCTTCCATTAATTGGAAATTTAGCGCAGGTCAATGTTGATCACGATGGCAAGTAGAAAAAAAAAAAAAAAAAAATTTAATTATTATTCATTCGATTGAAGCAGAAATAGCTACCGAATCTTACTTATTATTGTGCAATAAAAGGACCAAATAAATCTAACAAATCTTTAAAAAGCTGATAAAATTTTTAAGACTTTTCTTAATTATTGGAATTCACGTAAGTAATCGTACGCTTTTATAGAAATAAAAACAAATCTATAAGTGATTAGAATAGCTATACAATAATTAGTCGTATTTTTTTTGCAATATTATTAATAATAAAAAAACTTTACTTCTGTTTAAACTCTCTCTCTCTCCCTCTCTCTCTCTCTCTCTCTCTCTCTCTCTCTCTCTGTCTCTATCTCTGTCTCTGTCTCTGTCTCTGTCTCTATCTCTATCTCTCTATCTCTATCTCTCTCTCTCTAAAATGAAAGCATTACACTTTACTAATACGAAGTTCAACAACCATTTAAATAATATTGAAATCAATTTTTATCGATCAAAGCCATATCGGGAACTTTCGTTAAATATGAGTGTTTTGTACTTGAATCACAATATTTAAACTCAAGATAAGATGAAGCTAGATGAAAATTGTAATTATGGTCATATTATTAATGTAATAAATAATTAGGACTTTCTTCACCGCTATACGGTTTGGAGAATCCTTATTTGAAGTATTAAATTAGATTTAAGGTTGATACGATTTCGGTGTACTCGAGTAGCTCTCACTTTAGGGGAAGTACTCTAATATATCAAAATCATCTAACGTTACAGTCATTCTCTTTGTATTCAAACTTGAATTAAATTTAATGTAAATGTCCGCTCAATATCAGCTGACTTCGTGCACATTCATCATTAAACTGTCATTACGATCGAGTAGGATCGTGTGTATAATACATTTTTAATCTAATCCTGAAAGAATCAACAACATATATGTGTGTGCGTGTGTGCGTGTGCGCGTGTCTGTGTTTTTTATGGAAATATTCATATACAAATCAATTTGTTGAAAATATGAAAGAAAGTTTTCTGAAATTCTTGAAAATAATAAATCCACTTTTAATATTTTACTTTAATTTGTATTGCTCTTCAATTATTTGTCTATTGCTCATATTAATTTTCTGTCTCTCTTTATCACACACACACACCTCCCCCTGTAACTGTCTATCTGTCTATCTATCTATCTACCTATAATATATATAATATAATATCTATAATATAATAAAAACAATAAGGATTAGTGTAACTGTTTTTATCGATACATACGAATGCTAATTTACATTTACTTAATGAATTTCACATTGATCTTTTCATGTGTAATTGGTATTAAAATCTGTTTTTGTACTATGTATATAATAAAATTTTTTATTATAGTAAAAACTATACAAGCAGTTTAATCTGAAAATCGCTTCATCCAAAACAATATTGAATTAAAATTTTCAAATATATGAATAGCACGTCAAAATAATTTTGGAATTGATAATACGTGGGCCACAAGAAAGAAGGGGTAATGTCAAATTTCTAAGTCTTTACATTAATTTAATTTTTATCTGCAATATCAACTATACTTCATTGGTATATTATCTTAATCTCGTTACATAGAATGTTAGTAATACTTTAGGCAGTTAATTAAGCAAATAATAAGCGAACAAATATAAATAATGGTAATAGATATTTTTCATTGACAATAATTCTTTAAATAAATTAGTTAGAAATATATTTTGAAAGCCGCTAGAAATAATACCTCCAAGACTATAATGAATTTAGTATATAATTTTATAATTTAGTACTTGTCATAACTGTATTAATATTCTTTTATCAAATATCATTATATTTATTGTACTAATTTGCACGCTATAATTACATTTATTCATTTAAGAGATATTTTTATGTAGAATAGGAGATTCATTAATTGGCAAAAGCATTATCTACGCTTCTATGACTTCTAAGACTCTATTACATATAAATATTTATACATATATAAGCAGTTTGTGTTTACTTATATTAAATTTTCCATTGATTTTAGTACAATTTAATCTTATAAATTTATGTTTGAATAGCAAAATAAACGATATGATGCATATTATCCAACATTTATTAAAGTTAATGAGAATCAAAGTTGAAAACAATTAGAAAATAATTATAAAAAAATTGTAATGAAGAAATAAAATAGATAATGTTATATATATATATATATATATATATATATATATATATGTATAATTAGAAATAAATTTTTAATTAAAAGAATAATTTTTTATTGTGTAGATGCATAAACGATATATCGTTAAAATTAATTCTACAAAATCGTCAAAGTAATATTTTCATTTTATGATTTGTATGTACATAGTTAACGGTAAATATCATATATATATATATATATATATATATATATATATATAAATATATATATTTTTAATTTATCAGTAAAAATTACGCGATTCTAATTTATCCTGGCTAACGCCTTATCTATTAAAGTTTATTCTGTCTTATGAATAAAATGTAAAAAGAAAATAAAATAATTTATTTCAAAATATCTTCTTTATCATACTTAAAAAAATTTATACAATGAAAATGATTTTTTTTTTTTTTTTTTTTTTTTTTGAAAAATAATAAGATCTACTTAAATGGTAGTTAATAGTTAATCGTGTTTTATATGTAATTAATGTAATTGTCAACTATATTTTTCAATTTCAAACACAATGTATTGCGTTAAAAACAAGAGTAAAAAAATCATGCTTTTCAAACATAAAACAGATTTTTTTTTTCCTTTTTTTATTTTATTATTATTATTATTTTGATTAATGAATACTTTTAATGGAAATAACAATATCAGTTTTAATATAAAATTAATTATTTGTTTACAAAATTGCTTAATTCTCGATATGCGATCGGTTCGTTTATTGCAATACTCTTTATTAACTTTTATCATTTGGATTCCGAGTTATTCTTTATGTAAATTTTACAGATCTTACGTGATAAAAGCTATTAAATATATTAAATAAATTAGATAAATTAATTTATAAGTATATCTGACTATCTCATTATAGCAATATAATAAACAATTATATTATTACATTAATATGTTATGATCTTAAAAAATTTATGGATAAGTGTTATTGTGTGGGTTGGTTAGTTATATATCATTAATATACGTTGTACTAGAAAAACCAAGTTTTTCAACTTTTAAATAAAATTAGAAGTGAGAGAGTTCAATGTAAGCATTTACCAGTCAAAATTCTACAACAATCACAATTCCAAAATTGTTGAACAAACTATAAGAAACCTTACTATTCAATGAGTTGAAATTAATAGCTGAAATTACAAGCAGATAATAAAAATCCGCTAGAGATTATTAAATATAAAAATTCTAAATGTAAAACTATATTGGATCCTATTCGATAGCTTATCATTGATTCGCGATTATACTAAACAGAAGGAGCTCGAACTATTTAACCGAATGGCATTTTAGTCAAAATAACTTTTGATATTCTTATTAAGCAAATATCGAAAATGTTTCGCCGCCTATAATCGTCGTATCGGGAAGATTTCCTACTCCTTTCATTATGACGTCACAAGCTTTGATCGATAATTCAAAATAAATCTCCAATTCATTCTTATCTTTCGCAATTAGATATTTAATCGATGGGAATTAAAAATTAAAAAATTAAAATAAAAAAGAAAAAAAAAAACTGTTTCCGCCCGGGATCGAACCGGGGGCCTTCCGTGTGTTAAACGGATGTGATAACCACTACACCACGGAAACATTACGTTTTAATTGTGGAAATAAAATTCTTTTAAGTCCAACCATTTTTAAATGTTATTAATTGAAAAGTAAAAAAAAAAATCTTTATAAAATAACGGAATATATGAGCGGCTTTATAGTATAAAACGAAAGGAGCAGTTCACTACGTAATACAATAAATAATAGTACGTGTAAGAGTAACTAATGCTGCCATCTTTCAAAAAATAGGCATTAATCGATGTTTTGTTCGCACTTGTCGGTATTACAGTTTTTTTTTTTTTTTTTTTTTTTTTTTTTTTTTTTTTAAAGAAAAGCTGCTTAGGTAATATAAAAGATAATAAACTAAACTTTATTATAATTTATAATTGCTTAAATAACGATAAATTAAATGCATAATTATTCCTTAATATGCAGGTATGGATTGAAAATTGCTGTTGATTTAAATAGTCACGAAAACATTTGTATTAATTTTTTGTACATTTACACTAATATGCTATTTATATGCATATATATAAAAAAAAATTTATTTAATCATATAAAATTTTATTCAAAGTAATTTAATTTCATTAAATTAATTATAAAGTATTAATAAACCAAGTGTAATCGATTATAAAAAAAAAAAAATATAATTATCAAATACAATAATTGAATGAGTTAAAAAGATAAAGGCTATGGATAAGGAGATAATCGATTAAATTGTTGAAAGTATATAAGATAATTAACGATACCGAATTTCCGAATTTCCGATGCTTTTAAATTGTATCCAAGAATGTGTTATATATCTAATGTATTTTTCATCATTTTTCATCACAATATATCGAAATGCTAGATATTATCTATTTTAAATAGAAACGAAATCCTAAAATTATTATATAAGGCACAATTGATATGCATAATTTTGCGAATTTTAATTACACATTGTATAAATTTTATTTCGATTAAAATTATTGGAAAATTACTTTAGAGTACAAATCCTTTTATATGCATATAAGAATAAATGAAATAAATATATAATCTTAATGAAATTCGTTAAATCATAGATTATTAAATTTCTTATTTAATTTATAAATGCTTCATCGAATCCAACTATTTTTCATCTTGTAAAGTTCGAATGCATTCATTTCTAATTACTATTTAAAATAATAAAATATTCGATTATTGTCTATAATCGTCAGAACTAGTTTTTTTGTTCAGTTTAGATAATTCTAATACATTATTAACTCAAACTATTTATATTTATGAGATGTTCGCGGAGTAGAAATGTCTTTATTGTTACATTTAAATAAAAATCAAGTGTGTCCGTTTGTTTATGTATATGTATGAATCGATTGGTTAATTTTTAAAAAATATGCAATATTCTAATTTAATAAGAAATTGATTTGTAATTCCTTAATTATTTTAATATTGTGAAAAAGATAAATATTATATAATGCATACACGAAATATTTATGGTATTGGCATATCCTTCATTGTCGTTGTTATTGTTATTGTTATTATTACTATTATTATTATTATTATTATTATTGTTATTATTATTATTATTATTATTATTATTATTATTATTATTATTATTATTATTATTATTATTATTATTATTATTATTATTATTATTATTATTTGCAAATGAGTTCCGACAGAAAGAAAAAAAAAAAAAAGAAAAAAAAACAATCGTTTCATAAAAGATGAATCTTATATTAAGTAAAGTAGTAAAGTAGAATTGTACTGATTAAATTTGAAGAATTCATGCGATAAATATAAATATTTAAAAACAGAGGAAAACTGCATTTTATATTGTAAAACTAATGATTAGACGATAAGAATTTTTGAATATATCAAATAAATCAAATTCATATAGATTTTGTTTAATCGAATGACGCAATTATGCTATTGGACTTAAAAATGCACTTTGTAAATATCATTTGATTAGCTAATAATTGTTGGGACATGTGTGCGCTGCCGATATTACGAATGAATATGAAATATGGAATTTTGAGCGAGAGCAATCGATCGCGGCAGCTGCTATAAAAACAATAAATAAATCCGATGATATTAATATAGCGAGGCCCCGTTGCCGTGTCTCTCAAAGCTTCAATTCCATTTACCTGGCATCTAATTGTGCTTGTTTTACCTTTTAGAATTATTCAGTCGCATCGTGGGCATGAGATTGATGTGGGGGACACGAGACGGCATCAATAAAGCGTGGCTCGGGCAAAAACCTTACGTATTTTTAAGCAAAGCATGTACTGTCGAGCCGATCATAGCCAGCAGCCGACACGTAGATAAAAGTTACGACTATCAATTTCTCCAGCCTTGGCTTGGCACAGGACTGTTGACTAGTTCCGGTAATGTTACGTTCCTCTTAAGTTTATGCGTTATTAACTATCTTTGCAGACCTGACCCTCCACATACCCTCGCACACAACCACGCACACAAAGAGGACAGACAATTTACGTATGAGCGAGAAAAAAATTTTGTGTGCCCGTGCGTGTGTGTGTGAGAGAGGGACATGCTTTTTAATATTCAAGTGAATTCGAGAAGAAAATATTTTCAATTGTACTATTTTCAATTTGTTATATGTATTTCTTGATCTATCGTTTTGCTTTATTGCAACGGTAAGGGAATAAGGGTGAAAAATATTACATAATTAATTCTTCATTCTTTCATTCACTACAAGTGTTTTGCATAAAAAAAAAAAAGTATTATGCAACTATTGATTATTTTCTCTTTTGTATTTGGTGCTGAAAATCATTATTATGATATTATGAAATGTACGACATAATATTTGAATACGTAACATAATCATATTCTCTTATGCAAATATTCTTACTATATTTTCATCTTCGGCAATAAAATATTATTACAGTCAGTAATTTCAATCGCTGTCATACTTTCATAACTTTTGAGTAACATTTCAGTGTTGCCGATGTTTTTGAACAACTTGTTATTGCCAGTATTTTTATTTTCACCACGAAATTAGAGACTACAATGGGACCAAGCAATAATAATCATAAAATATAATATTATTAAAGAATATATATTTTTACGTTTTGCTTTAAGAGGACGCCTATTATTCTATAAAATTACATCTATTGTTTAATCTGTCTATTATTTAAGATCATTCAGGTCGAGAAAGATCATTGACATTAAATGCAACAGAAGTAATATCATTTTATAACATGTATCAAATATTTCAATAGTCACAGTACATTTTCCTCCTACTGTTATCCTTTATGCGGGCGCATACAGACTTCATTCTATTAACTACATACGGTTGATTAACAGAATTTTCTTTGACTAATCATAGACGATTTAACGTACCTTCAAATACATTGTCATTTATCTCTTATAAGCAACTTAAAATTCTTCATTTACAATATTGTTGTTAAAGACGGTGTAATCTATGATAATAAATCTACTTCAAATTTATATGAAAGCGTGTACGATTTTTATTTGACAATTATCTTGCCGCGTTCCCCGGCAATAACTACGACTTTCCAATATATTTTATAACAAATCATTTTAGTGCGTGAGCAATGACCGTGAGCAATCGTTAAGATGTACTTATTACCAAAAAATTATTTGTATGCTAATGCAAAAATTCACGTTTCAACAAAAAAAAAAAAAAAAAAAAAAAAAAAAAAAAAAAAAAAAAAAAAAAAAACACATTCGAATGTGTGCAGAATGAAGAATGCTAGAAGGGACATAAGTTGGAATTATAATCGGACAAACAAATGAAAATTTCAGGGGCGAAGTGGCGCTCTCGACGCAAGATCCTGACGCCAACGTTCCACTTCAACATCCTCGAGGGCTTCGTGCAGGTCTTCGGCGAGCAGACGGAGGTCCTGGTGAGAAAAATGGGTGCCGAGCTCGGCAAGCCCTCGTTCAACGTCTTCCCCTACGTGACCCTCTGCACCCTCGACATAATCTGCGGTAAGAGCAGCGAATAAGCGCCGGCCGCCGAAGCTTTTAGCTCGGCAATCATTGCAAGCTCACATGTAGCAATTTTCTCCTCTTCTCTCTCTCTCTCTCTTTCTCGCATTGCACACAGAGACGGCGATGGGACAGCGTATCTCGGCGCAGAGCCACTCGGACAGCGATTACGTACGAGCAGTCTATGAGTAAGTTACTCGTGTAGCTCAGTGAGTACTCGTGAAATCGAGCATTCGCCTTTTACTGATTCGTCGTGCATCCTCGTCTAATCTATCCCGAAATTTTTTTTCACTACCGCTACTCCCCCCACCCCCACTCCCACCCCCACCTGACCACTAATACATACTTCATTTTGTATTTGCTCATCGTCTTTGATTACGCCCGCTAATCGAAATCAATTTCCTAGTACTGAACTACTTTTCGTAAGCAAATTGCTCATCGTTTTATCTTCCTTCTATTCATCGACTCCTCGCATCGATCGGCTGAAATAATTTATCACGCTCCTTTTGCTGAACAGTACGATTACTTTATATAAAGTTCTTATAATTATAATTTCAGCTATTTTTCCGAATATCACCTCCCGGCGCGCTTATTGCTAACTTTTTATTGCCAAATTTAAAGGATACCTATCAATTTATTAATTATTATAAATAAAAGGTAATGTTAAGACCGATGCCAATATTAAATACAAATAACACGAATAGATTGTGATTGAAAATTATTAAAAATTTTATTTTAATGGATTATATGGTTTGAAGAAATGAAAATACTTTCTCTCTCATTTCTTCGAACATCCACACACGTACGCGCGCTGGCGTATTTCAACTTTCTTTTTTCTTTTTTTTTTAATCAAGACTATTTTTCGCAGGTAAAAATTGCGTATACTTTTAATAAAAAGTAGGTCGGTGTAAAATATTACATTTTAATTCGCATTAAGCTTATTGTAATTTCCTTAATTTTACATTCATAGCACTTGAAATATTAAGAATACAAACGAATTCCAACTGCTTTAATATCATTAAATATGAATTTTCTCGAGAAAGGCGTTAAGTATACACTTTCTTTTTTTTATTTACTATATATTAACAAGCTTTAAAGTAAATTTATTTCTTTTAGCGCGAATGTACAACTAAAACGATTTAAATACACGCGACTAACATAGATAAATAACATTGAAGGAAAGCTGGTCGTAGTAATATACTTGATGAATTTAAAAATAACAATATAATCACGGTATATTAACGTATCATACAGACATAAACTTTTTAATGTATTGGTGGAAGTCGTTGTTTAGTAGATATTTGTCGAATACGTATTATTATTCAACTTTAAATTATACTTTTAAATAGCGTAGTTTTAAGCGTACAAGATATTAATTATTATAACAATCTAATAATCTTATATTACATTGAACAATATTAAGTCGCACGAGATACAATAGTAATAATACTTAAAAGGAAATTATTATCTTAAATCTGACGAACAATTATAATTAACTTCTTACGATACTTCTAATAGTATAGGAAGCATAATCCAGACACGACAGGCAAGTTTGTTTTATCAGTCAAATATCTTCTTTCGATTTTCTTCATTGTACAAAAAGCACCAACAATGCATTCGGACATTGCATGATTTTTCGAACAAGGTAAACTTTAACATTAAATTTTATAATGTTGTTAAGCATTAGATCAACAATATATATTTGGACCTTCGTAAGCATAGGTTATAACGGAAAGACGGAAAGAAATTCTAGAAAATGCTGAAGATGCAGATAGAAACGAAGGTATGATTTCAACTTATAAATTCCAATTGTGCATAATTTAATATAATATTATTAAATACTAATAAATTTCTTCTTCTTTGTTTTTTGTTTTTTTCGTCTTTTTTTATAAAGTGACCAAGAGGTTAGCATTCTTAGATTTACTTATCAAAGTTTCTGAAAATGGATCCGTTCTGTCGGATACTGATATTAGAGAAGAAGTTGATACATTTATGTTCGAGGTTTGTTTACATATATGTAGTTTATTTAAAAACCGATTATTACGATTATACATACATTCATTGGATAATTAATAAACTCTGAAATGAGAATGTGAATTTCTATGAAAAGTCTGAATTAAATTGTAGATGTTTATTATTTATTCTGGATTAATTGAATCTGTCGATAATTTTAATGGAATAAGTTGGATAAAGGAGTGGAATTGAAATGAGTTATAAATTTAATAGACAATTTTACTATTATACCATTCTAAATAAGTTGATTATAACTTTCAAATTTTTAATCTTTATGTATTATAATCTTCGAGGCATATAGATAGCTTGGAAATTGAAATAACTTTCAAAGTCTGTACCTTTAAAATGTTTGTAGCCATTATAATTGCAACATGCATGTATTTATCATCATTGATATTAAAAAAAAAAAAAAAAAAAAAAAAAAAAAAAAAAAAAAAAAAAAAAAAAGACAATTAATGTTGAGTAATAACACTGAAAGAAGCATAATATTATCTTTATAAAGGGTCACGATACGACATCATCTGCGGTATGTTGGACATTATATTTGCTCGGATGTCATCCAGAATTTCAGGTATTTAGAATATTTATTTGTGTAAACCATTTTTTTTTTTTTTTTTTTTTTTTTTATATAACATTCTAACGATAAATTATTTTATTAGCACAAAGTATTTAATGAATTAGATAGTATATTTTCCGAAGGAATATATGATAGAAGACCTACATTGCGCGACCTCAAAGGCATGAAGTATTTGGATAAATGTATTAAGGAAGCTCTACGCTTATATCCTAGTGTACCAATTTTAGGAAGAAAAGTATCAAAAGATATTCAAATAGGTAAATTAATGTAATTGATATAACATAAGATAATAATTATTGATATAAAAATTTCTCCATTCTCCAAGATCCTCTGTAAAATCTATGGAAAATCTTTCTTAATGTTTAACCTCCGAATGTATCCATCAATTTGATCGTTTAAAAAAAAATTAGATTTCCGATCTGATTCATGATGATGAAAGCCGATGGTTTCTTAGACGATTATTCCTACACGAACCAACATAACAAAAATTCTAAAGTAATAATACAATGTTAAAACCAGTCATGCATAACTTACCCCTTCTCCGTTACATCCGTTGTCATTAGTAATTAGAAATAAGAAATTGTCGTTATAATATTTCTATCCTATGATATGGATTATTATATATTTGACGATTGAATTTCCCGTAAAAAGAGAGGCCTTACGCTCTAACAAGTAACAATGCGCTTTAACAATAGTATCTATGAATAGTAAAAAAAAAAACAAAAAAAACAAAACAAAAGCAAAATCTCTATTATCTATTATCTGTTACTCGGCATCGATCGATTACTAATGGTACGACGTTATCAAGTGTCGTAGCGAGCGAAACAACTTACGCTAATTCCGCAATTCTGGCAATTCAATTAAAAAGCTTGCAAATTTTAATTTCTACTGAACTTTAATGGTACTTCATTCAAGCTGGTTTGCTTAAATTATCGTAATTGATTTTAATATTACCTAACAGAAGAAAGTACTCTTTCTTGCTTAATGATTTATTATTTAGTCAGTCTTAAACACCGATATGACTCCATTATTACGTTTAATCAATTTCATGCTATTTTAATTCAGTATTACGCTGCAAATAATTGTAGAAATGACAGATAAATACTAATTGCGATATCTAAACGGAGCAACGAGAGCATTTAAATTAGTTATTTGAAATTTATGTTTAGCCGATTAAAAATGTTGAATTTTTTAACACATCGCGTAATAGAGTCTTTGTAAATCTTTTATTTCATAAATATCGAGCGAACTTTAATACTTCAAACGTATGCGATTTTTGTGAAATTTTCTACGGTTAACGAATAGATAATAAGTTGTAATTCTTTATTTGTATAATATTGCCAAGAACCACCTGAGCATAAATATAATCATTAAGTGATAATGATACGTAAATTTCTTTTATATATTTAGCATTAAATTTTGAAACGATGTATTTTTCATAAGGACATATTTATTTGGCAAAAGTCTATTTATTTCAGTAATAAAAAAAATTAGCAAATATTAGCAAATTATTCATTTGCGCGAGGTGATAAAACTAGAGTTATGCATTTATTGTTGAAAACAAAGATGAGAAAGAATATCAGTTAAATTGAATATGAAGAATGAATATAATATGAATTCTAAAATAGATTTACATCAATAGTATAATATATATTATCCTAGTAATGATAAATGTATAATTTCTTTTTCATTTAGGCAAATATACAGTGCCTAAAGGAACCACAGCTCTAGTCGTTCTTCCAGTTCTGCATCGAGATCCAGAAGTTTTTCAAAATCCAGAAAAATATGATCCAGAAAGATTTTCATATGAAAACACGATTGGACGTCATCCTTATGCATATATTCCATTCAGTGCAGGACCCAGAAATTGTATAGGTATGCGAAAAGAGCAATGTCAATAATACAGAATTTGAAAATGGATAAGGAATAAAGATTCGTTGGTTAAAATTTAAATTTAAGTACACACACACACACACACACACACATATCGTCTGTAATGTTTAATAAATAAATATTCAATTATTCATTGTTGATCTGTAATGGTATGATAAAATTTTAAATATAAACTAAAACGATTATATTTTTGGTTTGTTTCGTATTAGGTCAGAAATTTGCATTATTAGAAGAAAAAGTACTAATTTCAGGAGTATTGAGAAAATACAGATTGGAAGCAACGGAACGTCGCGAAGATATCACAACGACAGCCGAACTTGTCATTCGTGCGAAAAATGGTCTTCATATAAGAATTCACCCGCGATTCACTTAAATAATTATAATAATTTTATTTATTTTGTTTGACCTAACACCATACCATCTATTGAAATATTAACCTAATTAATGGATAATTTTTAACATTTTTTTATCCATGAAATTTGAATTTCCGATATACTTCTTATATGCTTTACAATACTAATAATGTAATATATATTTGAATAAGAGTTTATATATATAAATATATATATATATATTTTTTTTTTTTTTTTTTTTTTTTTTTTTTTTTTTTTTTTTTTTTATAAAACCAACTGACATTTTACAAATGATTTCTATTAATTTTTTCGGTCTCTTGTGAGCAATTCATTATTTTAATATATTATAGTCTATAAATAATTTGCAAAATAAAGAAATTCATTTATAAATATATCTCATGTTACGATTTTAAATTATTGTTTATATTTTTATTGGCAAACATTGTTCGTATTATACAGAAATATTTTTTTGCAAAATTTTTATTCATTTTGTTATTGTTTGATGCGCGCGTGCGTACACTCCCGTACGCACGCAAAGAGAGAGAGAGAGAGAGAGAGAGAGAGAGAGTGAGAATATATATAATATATTTAATATCGAATGCACATTTGTTTTTTTTTTTAATCTTTATAAATTATAAAATTTATGACCGTAATAAACACGATAATTGTACGAAGATATGAAAATCGAATGTTCTCTTTGTCAAGGAAAATTAATATTTATTATTGTAATCGTACAATTTTAAAAGAATTTAGTATTTTAGCATCTGTATTTCAAGTTTACTTTTCGGTCAAATTTTTTTTATGCATTACGAAGTTGATGAATATTAATTGGTCGCCCGTTAAGACTATGACTTTTCAAACATTTAAAAAACTTGCAGTTATTTTCGTTTCGTCGCTATTCCTCCTTACCAAAATAATATTTTATTTGAAAATTCAAATCCAAGACGTACGAAGGAATTCCAATTTGTATTTAAATATTCAAATCACTTATCTATTGAGCATCTATCAGTATCGTGCACAATTCTTATTTTGATATTTGCATGTAGTTTTGTATGAAAAAAATTACAATTATTATAAATTACCTTATTAATTAAGTACATTTCTTCTTCAAGAAAGACTCTTGAGCTACCAAGTAAAATAACAGCGTCCGTCTACCAAATGTAACAAGGACGTCCATTCAATCTATAGCAACTAACGATTGAGACAAAAGAGGCCTTTTCTCTTCTTCGCCTCATCTCTTCGCGAGTCCCAATGTCATTTCTTGCATTCGTAAATTATTATTATGATATTTTCGAGACCCGTTTATTTAAGTCGATAAGAGAGCATTTACAACGATATTTATAAATATTAAAGACAAGGGCGATTATAATAATAAAGACATTGCGCAAGTACGATCAGCCTCAACGTCTCTCGGAGCTGCTCAATGTCAATTTGAGGGCAGTCGATGCTTGTTTGGTGATGCGCGTCGCCTCATCAACGTAAGCATCGCCAAGGAGCCACGAGAGATCCATTGGTTTTCGTTGCCCGAGGCGCGGGTGTTAAGTTCATCATCAAACCAGCATATTCAGTGAGAGAAAGAGAGAAAAGAGTATGTGGATGATAATTAGCCATTGTATCTCCCCGGGATGTCATTCATACTGTCCTTAATAATACAAAGGGATGGGATTTCAAGACTAATAAAGCCAATAGCCAAGTCCAAGCGTTATGAACTTAAATTCTCTCCCTTAAATTTTACGAAAACAGTTTGCGGTGGGGCTAGTGTTCGACGAGGCTGATTGGTCGAGGTAAGTGGCACGTGATCGTCGGCTACGACGAATCGGCGCTCGATTAAGCCGAGGATCCAACGGACGCGAGCCGCGGGTCTTTGGGTTGCGTTTTCAGCGCAGCGTTGGCAGCGACGGGACGTACATTTCTAGGAACGGAGAATAAGTGAGATAAGCAGGCGCGCGTTTGTGTGCGAGAGAAGAGTGATGTGTGAAGTGGGAAGGAGGTAATAGAGAGAGAGAGAGAGAGAGAGAGAGAGAGAGAGAGAGAGAGAGCGAGAGGGCGAGCGAGGAGGTGGTGTTGGTGGTGGAGTTGGTGGCAGCAGCGGAGATGCGTGTAAGGCCCCCGTGGACGTTGGAACGTCGTGTTTGAAGAATCGTTCGTTTGGTGTCGTCGTGGTTGACAAGCGCAGTCACGTTTACGTAGTCCATGCGAGAGGGAGTGCGGTCTTTCTTATATTAAATATATTTTATTGTGCTTAGCGCTTTTCACGAAACGTGAGGCGAGATATTAGAGGTTCGAAGAGTCTTGTGTATCATTTTGGCATACGTCGTCGTTTCTAATAGAGAAGACATAAATAAGTAAGGCGGGGAGCGAGAGGCGGCGGACGAGAGTTCGCTGTGGTCAAGATGAAAGAGATGGTAATCCCACTGCTGTGCGCGATCTTGGCTGGTAAGTATTTGGATGTTTTGGATGTTGAGTATGTTGAGGTGGTGGAGGAGGAGGAGATGGAGGAGATGGAGAATAATGGGTTGATGAGGGGCTAGAGAGGGAGAAGAAGAAGAAGAAGAAGAAGAAGAAGAAGAAGAAGAAGAGGAAAAAGCCCCCTTTGGCTGGACCTTATGAAATCGACATTTTACGGTTCCTTTGTTCTGGTGTCATTATAATGCGAGGAGGCGCGTGTAGCAGCGACGAAGGTCTTCGAATTTCCCTACGCATATTATTATAAATTTGATATTAATCGATCGTTTGTTCCGACATCTCCGCAACAAGTCGCTGTGAGACCCGACACCCTGCTACTACGTATGTTTGGTTTTGCGTTTCCTGTTTTGTTATCGAGACTTGTAGTGACTTGCGTCAGATCTACTTTCGCTTTCAGCCCCGAGAATCCAATCCCCGTACACTGTCGTATGCAAAATCGTTTTAAGTTACAAAGACGAAAACAAAACAGAAACATTAAGTTCACATATGGGCATTCACAGGGACAAAAGCATAAGAAAATAATGTATCTTTAATTCTATGGGGTGTAAATTTTTTAAATTTCCATAAAATTAGATAATAAGCTATTTCTGTCAACGTCACATTATTATTATCTCTCTATCGTCGCTTTTCTATTTCGCATATGCGAATTAATTAAGGACTTTATTATCGATGAAACGTTAAGTGATGTTTATGATTGGTCGTTTGTTTATATGTCCAAAGATAAGAATCGGACGTTAAATAATAATCTCGTTGACCGAGATTCGACGTTAAAAATTGCAAGCAACCATTGTTAAGAATTATTTTTTAGATACACAAGAGGAATGAGTAGTAATTTTCTCAAATACTTAGTCATGAAATGCAATGTAGCTTGGCTTTGACAATATTGTTGACTAATTTGTGACTCAAGTTTACTTTTCATAAATCGATGATATTCTTATGAAACGTCACTTTATTCATTTGTTAGGTGCCTTACGATTATACTTGTAACAATGAGATCTTTTAACTAAATTATTTATTACAATATCGTTGAGTTTTGATAAAAAAACAATTGAAGTTTGTGTCAATAGCAACATTTGAGCCGCACATTAAGAAATGACTGTATTTACGGAACATCTCTCCTCTGTCTCACTGCTAAATATTATATTCCATAAAGTCAATTTTAAATATAAAATTACAAATGTTGGCATAAGTTATAATTCATTTCTATCGTTTAAATATTATCAATCCATTACTATTTGTTTAATTAATTTTCAAGACACTAGAATACATAAATATATATATATTTATGTATATACTCTGTATCTTGAGTATAACATGCATTTGTAATTTTTTTATATATAAAGGCGATCAGGACTATAAATATCATTCTTTAAATAATGTAATTTAATCGTATTATCCTATATTTCTTTTACAATCCATGAAATATATGCTTAATAATTTAATACGGAATTAACGCACATTATGACTTAAGCAAATAATTTATTGTTCAATTATTCTGTCATAATCTGCATAGTTTTGTTTCATTGTAATTTTGCCGCCGTTACCAATATCTTTATAATCAATATTTTGTCTTATTAGTAACAACGGCCAAGGTAGTGATTAATATAGAAGGTCAAGATACGCCACATTTGCTCGATACAAAAGCATGTACATGGGGACCTTCATATTGGTGCCAGAACATCACGTAAGAAAAATATTTAAAATATTTAGATTTAAAAATATTTTATGTTTATAAGAAGCACAATGAATATTTCAATTTTCGTATAATTTTTTTCTTCAATGAAACCATGAAGTGCAATTAAGAACTCAGTGTTGTGCGCACCTAAAGAACCGTATTATTTATATTATTTGAAATAGAACTGCAGCCAACTGCAAGGCCATGAAGCATTGCATTCCAAAAGTATGGGAAAAAATGCAGGTACCCGATGACAATGACACCGTTTGTCATATATGCAAAAATATGGTTTTGGAGGCACGCACGCAATTAGAAAGCAATCAAACACAAAGTGATTTAAAAGCTGTGTTCGAGGGAAGCTGTGCCTTAATTGTTTTTCAGCCAATTGTCAAAATATGCGACAATTTGGTGGATGAATTCATTCCCGAGTTGGTTGAAACCTTGTCATCGCAAATGGATCCCTCCATAGTTTGTTCGGTTGCTGGACTTTGTAATTCTGAATATATTGATAAGCTTTTGGAAGAATACAAAAATCAAGTAGAACATAAGGTGAATATCTTTCATTATATCACAACAATAATAAATATCTAAATCAATTATAAATTCGATTTACTAAATATTTAATCTAAAATAATTATGTAAAAATTTAATAATCTCTTAATATACATAACCTTTTGACACTGTTCTCGTATTATCATATTCACTATATATGCGAAAGAAGGAAAGCAAATTTTGTTTTTTTTTTTAACGCATATCTTATCGTAAATTTGTCAAGCATGAAATGTAATGTATCATTATATCTATTTTTTGTGGTAATTGCATTGTGTATTGTATTTTTATATAAATATAAGCAAATTTTTTCATTTTAGGAATTGAAGACACCAATTTCCTTGAATAACGACGAGTATAATCCCAACGAATGTTCGAAATGTTACACAATTATGCATCACATGAAATACAAATTCAAGCAAACGTCACGCGATCGGGTTTTAGAACAATTTCTCAATATATGTGGGGAATTGAGCTCGTTCTCAGATGCTTGTTCGTCTATTGTTTTAACTTATTTTGAAACAATATACTCGCATCTTCAGAGTTACTTCAACGAGAAAAATATCTGTCATCTTTCTGGTCAATGCAGCGACAAATTCCACGTTCACGAAGATAACACTGACAAGGCAAGCAAATCTGAATAGCTTTATCCTAATTATAATAAATTTATCACAATGAACAATATTTAATTCCAATATTAAATGCAAATATTATAATTTTTCATGAAATTTAAAATAATAATTGACTATATCAATTTTATATGAATTTAGAACGTGGAGGTTGAAATTAGACCTTTGTCCACTGTTGGCATGGTTGAAATAAGCGACGATTTGCCATGTAAGCTGTGCAGACAACTTGTCATCCATTTAAGAGATGTCTTGGTTGCTAATACCACTGAGACGGAATTTCAACAAGTATTATTAGGATTTTGTAAGCAAACAAAAAGCTTTTCTACAGAATGCCAATCCATAGTCGAGCAATATTATCCAGAAATTTATAGTTATCTTACAAAGAATTTGAATAGTAACATCCTTTGTCAAATGGGTGGAATATGTCCAGCTCCTGGAAAGAAAGTAAGAAAATAATATTCTTCTATGTAAAATTATACATTTTATAAAAAATTTACCTGATAATTTGAACGAATAGTCGGGACCCATTTGGCCACTTGTTCCCAACGATCACGCTAAAGATGCTGAAATCATTTTCAATGAAAAGAATGCGGAGCCCAAAATACTAGAAGCTAGCAAAATGCAGTTACCAATTGAACGACTCACACCATTTAGTAGTCTTTTATTAATCGATAATAAGTATTGTTCTAGTTGTGAATTTGTAATAAATTTTATCAAAACAAATGTCAAAGACTTAACGAATAGGGTATGTTTTATTAACTATTTAAATTTGAAAAATCTATTTTAAATACTTCTCGCTTGTTTATTTGAAATTATTTACGTTATAATCAGGACGAAGTAAAGGCTATGCTCGATGAAATGAAGAGTACCCTTCCAGGCTTTGGTGATGAATCTAACGAAGATAATTTCTTAAATAAGTATGAATTAGCTCTAGTCGAGCTCATCTATCAAGGAACAAATATTTCCGAGGTAAATCTTTTTTAAATCGACTTAAATTAAAAATTACATATTAAATGGTATGTTTATTATCAATATCAATCAACTTTTAGATTTGTTCATTAATCGCTGTGTGCCCGACAAATCAACAAATGGAAGCTTGGAAAAATATTCCGTCAAAATTTATAGAAAAGTCGACGGTTGAAAATAAACCATCTTGTGCGTTATGCTTATTTGCCGTTTCGAAATTGTACAGTCTCGTTGAAGATGATAAAACCGAGGTTTTTATTAAAAAAAAAAAAAAAAAAAAAAAAAAAAAAAAAAAAAAAAAAAAAAAAAAAAAAAAACAGAGCATATATTATATCATTTAAATGTCTTATTAGTATTTTTGGAATAATGACTTTTGTATTTTGCATTTTCAATGCTCAATATTATAAGCTTATAATTATGTGTCCGTGTGTAAGTATTTATTTTAAAATGATTCGTTTTTAATTATTAGGTTAAAATAGAAGCTGCCTTAGATAAATTGTGCCATGAATTGCCGAAGAATTTAAATAGAGAGTGTACTGATTTAGTGCAAATTTATAGCAAGGAGCTTATTGAATTACTGATAAAAGATTTGAAACCCCGTGAAATATGTTCTTACATAAAACTTTGTGACCATTCGCAAAGCACCGAAAATAAACAGAGATTATCGATTGGACCAACGGATATTGCAGTTCCACAAAACAACCTGCAAGGGAAAGAAGCTTGTGCATTATGCGAATACATATTGCACTATATCCAACAAGCTATTACTAGTCCAGAAGCAGAAGTATTAATTCTTTATTATTTTTTATTTTTTCCATTACTTTGTTCATTAAAGAGAAATTTAATTATTATTATTCAATTTGTCGTAGGATGAAGTTAGGCAAGTGATCGATAAAATTTGTCAAAAATTACCAGAGACTATTCAAAACAATTGCAATGATTTTGTGAATGCATATGGTAGCGCTTTGGTAGCAATTCTTGCTGAAGAAATAGATCCATCAATGGTAAAACAAAACAAGCCAATATAGATATTACAACATCGCATAATCGTTTCATTTTAATTCATAAATTACATGAATTACAGATTTGTCCGAAATTTGGTATATGCCAATCTTCTGCATTACTTATAGCTCCGAGAAAGATGTACAAAGGAAAGCTTAGTGAAATTATATTTGCGGATAAGCCTAACTGTCCTATCTGCCTCTTTGGAGTTACACAATTATACAATGTCATAAAAAATAATAAAACCGAGGTAAAAGGATTATTTTTCAATTTTATTATTATATTATTATATATAGATGATTAATATTTTATATTATCGTTCAAATACCAGACGTCCATTGAAAACGCTTTAGACAAATTATGCATTCATCTTCCAAAAAGTTTAATTGAACAGTGTGAAGGTTTCGTAAAGCTTTATAGCAAACAATTAATTGAAATGATTATCGCTGATTTTACTCCCCAAGAGGTTTGCGTTTACTTACAATTATGCGATGCAGAAAAGAACGTGGGATTGACGAGCACTTCCTTTCCTTTAGACAAAGCGGGCGAAATAAGTAAGATTTACAATGAGAAATACTTTTACAATTTAAAAATAGTTTATTACTCTCTCGGTATAATTTAATTTATACTTTTTTTTTCTTTTATTTTTTTTTCTCTTCTCTTTTTTTTTTTTTTTTTTTTTTTTTTTTTTTTTTTTTTTTTTGTAATACCGAAATTACACGATCATTTTATTTGAAAATTTCTCTTATTTTAATGTTTATTATTTTAGTGACAAATGAGATTCCAAACTATCCTTTGCATACAAAACAAACAGCGATAATGAAAATTGAATGCGATCTTTGTGAATTTATGACGGAGCGTATTAAGGATATGATAAATAGCCACAAATCAAAAGAAAAAATTGGAAACATGTTTAACGTAGTTTGCAATAATCTTCCAACGCACATATTACAAAAGTGTAATCATTTTATTGAAAAGTATGCCGATATTGTTCTTGAACTTGTCGCGAAAAAAATTAGTACAAAACGAATTTGTACAAGTATCAATCTTTGCGTACCAGATACTACAACACTGAGAGGTATTTCTGAACCTGATAATTATGACCTAAAAATGATGTCTCGCATGAATGCTCCTTCTGTAGTAATGATATGAATTCAAGTGGAATTGTGATATTTTTCTGAAGTGCTTCTAATGTTATTTTAAGGCTTTTATTTAATAAAGTATTTTTTCATAATGGCGTCGTTTGTTTTAAATAGTATTAACAACCCTATGATCCTGTATAGATTGGAAGTTTTTGAATGCTCTGTAGATGCTGCATGGTAGAACAATATGGGTTAAAAGTGATTTTATATGTTAATAAGTTTTTATACTTTTAGAGTCTGTTGCAGAATGTGCTTTTTGTCAGGAAGTAATATCGAATGTTGAGATTCTTATAGATGATCGTAAAACAAATGGAAATACGGAGGAAATTATTGTTAATGTTTGCAAGCATGTAACTACAAGTGACAAGGAGAAAGTGAGTATTGAGATATTTTCAAGCTTAAATTTAATGGGCAACTGATATTTTATCAATATTAATTTGTTTTAGTGTATCAGGCTAATAGAAAAAAATAAAAAGAGTATTATTCGGATTATTAAGTCGCACGGTGACACAGCAAAAATTTGCAGTAAGCTTTCCTATTGTGCCTCTCACGATTTTTTACTGATGTTAATTAAAAATGGAAGAACTAGGCGACAGGCAGACGATAAGAATCTTGGTACGAAACCATGTACTTGGGGAATTTCTTATTGGTGTGTCGATGACAAAACTGCCGAAGAATGCAAGGTAAATAAAGCATTAATATTAATAGCAAGGTGATTGATATTTGACAAATTAAAATGATGGAATTCAATTATTCGAAGGCCACTGAATTGTGTAAAAAGAAGGGTCGCCTTCCTGAATCGACGTCGACAACAGTTAAAGCCACATCGGACAACCGCGAAGTTGCATCTGAAGCTGAACAAGCTGTATCCGAAGATGCACGATCATCATCCTCTTAACAAGATAATCTGCATAAAAATTCTATGCAGTATGCATGCAGCCATTTTCCTATAGAAATAGCTGTACATTAGAAACGTGGCTATACTTTTATTATTATTATTATTATTTTTTTTTTTCTTAATGCATTTTTTAACTTTTTATTACCCATAATTTTTTATATATAATATCTCGATCAAATTTTTCTACATTGACATGGTGCAATTTTGTTTTAAAATACGCACGGGCGTTCATTTTATGTGTGGGTAGCTTGGTTTAGAGGTCTCTAATAATCGGTATTTTTTCACTTAAATTTCTTTAACCGCAGTACTAAAAACCGTTTTCAACTAACAGTGACTACAGTGATTTATTATGACGTACTCATAAAATGATTATAAGATTAAAATGATGTTATTAAAATCATTAATTTTTTTCTTTAACTTTAAAGTTTCTATAAACGTATATAAATTTTTTCAGGATTCTGCAAACATTCGTAAATGATAAAAATATAAAGAAATATCGTTTAAAAGAATAACTTTAGGATTTTTAAAGTTATATGTACTTCATTTTTGCCATAAATTAATAGCTCAAATGGCGCGAGATGCTTCGACGCTCAATGAATAATAAAATCCTTTTGACAGTGAATATTGTACTATTGTACTTTGCAAATATGAGATTAATTTTCAATTATTACTCCAGAACTTTTATTTTGAAAATTATTGATTTTTATGAATTCATTTTTCAACAAAGAACCTCGATACTCTAAATCGGATGGCTTAATATACGAGAGAAAATAAAAGAAATGAAAACTATTGATTAGTTCCATAGATTAAGTAAATTTATTAGTTTCAAAATTTATAGTATTTAAGTGTCAATAGTAATTGAGTATATGTAAAATGTAATGTGATTATGAAATTTGCTCTTTTATTTTTATTATAAAACACATTGAGATTATTTTCTTTTGCTAAAATTTTATCATTATTATCTTAGAAGTTAACTGTGATAATAAATAACATTTGAATAAAAAAACAAATAAGAAATAAAATAAAAAAAAAAAAAAAAAAAGGTTGAAGCAGTGTTTTCATTTGTAAGTGAAGAAAGACTTGAATCATTTTTATAATTGATTATTGTTAATTTCTTAACTGTCGATTTTATTTTCATGTATATCAGAACAATTTTTATACACAATACTTTTGGTAATTGCTTTGGTAGATTTTTTGTAATATTTTTTTTCAGGAATTTTTTAATTTTCAAAAGTTCAATTGATTTTAATTTGATACTTAAATAGATCGCAAATTGTTGCCAACCATGAATTGTTAATGTTAATAAGTAAATTGAAGAAAGAAAATTACTATTGCAATTAGCAAAGATCGTTATTTATAAAAAGCATTCATATAGTGTAATTTTTTTCATTGAATTTTTCCAATGAATATTTTACAAGTTCTATTATAATATCTTACTTTGAATATCGCATATTTCTTTTTTATACAAACAATACAAATAAAGAAATTAAAAATATTATTATTATGAATTGTTTATCGAATAAAATACTTGTAAAATATCTTACCGACAAATATTATATATAAAATATTCTTTATGGAATATCAAAATTCATCTCCCAATTCGTAGATTTGGATCTGCGTATGTATTATCATTAAGTGTTCACAACGAAGTTTGAATAATTATTAATAATAAGCAACAATAATATGCGTTTAATATCGAAATTGTTCGTTTCATTCGAATACGACAACAAATAAATAAGACATACGATTAACTTGAAAAATAATTGAAATCGCTAATATTCCTTTCATTTTTTGATATTTCCTTTGGATATTACAAGCCTTTAACAACATTAAAACCGCATGATCGCTCATTGCTAGTTAATCTTTAACAATGATAATAAGGCTAATTTGAGCTATTGAATTAGCGTTGCCTTACTCTCCCAATATCAATAATCAATTCCAGGAAATTGCTATTTACACAGTTTTAATGACGAAAGAAATTTTCTAGTAGAAAATGTATTCTTTGGTTGGTAAAGCAGATGAGGGTAAGGAAGGGAAAAAATACAGGGAGGGCGCCACTGTCGTTACAAACAAAGTAGCGCCAGCACGGTCACGTGATCAATTTCTTCTGAAGTCTAAAAAAAAAGAAGATACAATATACAGTGTACGAAGGAGCATCGCACGAAAATTCGGTGTTTTTTTCGTATGCGTGTCACTTGGAAGATGCCACAGTTTGGCCTTCACGGACATAATGTTCTATCGTTGGATCTGTAGTGAGAAAGAGAAAAATCCTTGACATTAACAACGCCTTGTCATGTGGAAGTGTCATAAATGCGGGAAACCCGTTTATTTTGGTGTGTAAATCAACAACTTCAGTCGTTATTTTCGTTTGTAATTCCAATTTTTCAAATTATTATTTACATTGTCCGAAATTTATTAATTTACAAACTAACAAACTGATTTCTAGAGAGGATGATAATTTTTTTGCGAGCATTATCGTCTTTTCTTGATTATGTTAAAAAGTAGTTAATTCCACCAAAAGTAATATAAAGTTTTATAAAAATATTGATAATTTAGTTTTATTTCGTCTTAATATTTTCATTTACTTTAATAGCGGAGCGAAAGCAGTCCTTAGGATATGATTGGCATCCGGAATGTCTGAGATGCGAAGAATGTGGAAAACGTTTGAATCCTGGTCAGCACGCAGAGGTTAGCCCTTTAAATAGAGACATTGAACAATGGAGGCGTTTGCCATAATAGTAAATTTATGAATTTCTATGTTTAAATAACGTTTAGCATAAGGGAGTCCCTTATTGTCACGTGCCATGTTATGGAGCACTTTTTGGCCCACAACTATTTGGTCACGGCACAAGAGTCGAATCTCATACGAGTTTTGGTAAGAAGGAATCTCGTTCGTCTTTGCCAAGGTGAGAAAAATTATATTTATTAATTAAATGGTAGCAGTGTATTTAGAATATTTACTAATGAAAGAAGTTGCCTAGCCATTAAATTGCCACTTATCGACAAATGTCTTTCAAAATAAATATATATCTTCTGTTACAATATTATAAACAAATAACAATTGGATAAATAATAACTATATAATAGTTAAATAACGAATAATTGTAATAGATCTATCACAAGTATGATAATGGTGGTTAGTTATTAAGTTTGAATAGTAGGGCATTAAGATATTGATACATAAGTATTATTAGATAATAAGATAATTATTAATGTACATTTGTATTATATTCTTTATTATTTAAGTTCAGAATGGAGATATAATTTTAAATATATATGTTCCTCTATCAGGTCACATTTAGAATCAAAGCTAAAGGTTTTTAACCAGTATTACGAAGGCAAAAGCGGTGGCATTAGAAGTCGAGAGGTATGAAAAGCTTAAAAAATTTTATACACAAAATAACCATCGGAATAAATGAAACTCATTCGATTGTTATAATGAAAATAATGGTACAATTTTATTTTAGGTGAATGGCAGATTAATTTTGGAAGGTGCTTTAAGAATTTATTGGGGTGTACGTGGTGTTATACACTTAAAGGAAGATGACGATCAGCGTACCGTTGTTACCGCTCGACATAGAAACTCATGCAGAAGAAGTTATACCGACAAAGTTATAGACACGGAAATTAAAGACAAAGAATCCAAGGATTCCTCGCTGTCGGACAGTCACACAGAAATTGAATCAAATTCAGTTCCACTATCTCCCGATCACATAAAAAGCCTCACACTGCCAATGAAACTTGACGTTAAAAAACTGGAGTGGGACGAGCTAGATGAATTGTTGCAGGTTGAATGTAAAGCCGAAGATGGAGAAAAATTATATCAGACTATGCCTAAAAGCCTTTCATCGATAAGTTCTTATTCCAGTACCGAGTCTCCGCCAGTATCGTCAACATGCTTGAGTGTAAATTCTTTAGAACGTAGTAGTCCTAATCCCGATACACATAGCATTAAAATCAAAGACAATAGTATCACTAGTACACCTACTCATAGTTTAAGCAGTTCCTCCAATACAGACACTCCAAATTATCATGGAACTCCCAATAAAAACGGTGCTTTACATAGAGTCGAATATTTTGATAGTTTAGATAAAAATTCCACAAGCAATCATTCAATTAGCGACGAAGACAGTTGGTTGGAGAAAGGTTTGAATCGCTCAATGTCAGGACCCGATTGCTTACAAAGGCATCGAACTGATAGCGATACGGATTCGGCGAGTTCCTTGCATTTTCGTGATGATGATAACATGACAATGTCAACAGATAGTGGATTAGAGGTAATGTATAGCATACATAGGTGTGACGAGTGTGTGACGAGTGTGTGTGTGTGTGTGTGTGTGTGTGTGTGTGTGTGTGTGTGTGTGTGTGTGTGTGCATACGAGGCGAATGAGGTGAATAAGTGTATGGCGCGTTTGGCGTGTAAGATGCATAAAATACGCATAACGTATAGGTTTACGTGGGCGTGTATGCGTATATTGTGAAATATACACATTTTTTCACGGTCTTTTATATTAATATTCTTTGTTACACTTGTCAATGATATTGACTATTAATTAAAGATAGTTTCAAATGTCACTTAATTCATATATAAATTCATAATATTGAAATTGTTTAAGCGCTAAATTTAAGTACTACAGTACCGCGAAGCACGTATCATTTAGATTTTGATAGAAATAATTTTTTAAGAAATCTTAATCGTAATAAAAGTGTAGTTTTAAGATTAATTTTTACGACAAATGTTTACATTTGTTAATAATATTAATTATAACATTGTACAATGAGAGTTACGCCAAAGGAAATTAATAAGGATTTTTCAAGAATTGGAATTGACTTCATTTTGCGCATTGAGCCATATAGGTTTATTATTTAAAAAAAAAAAAAAAAAATCCTATGCTTAGTACATTCTGTATATTTTAACATTATTAAAAATAATTTTTTTTTATCTTCTGATAATTCAACTAGTTACAATGATTAATTTTTTTACTTCGTGTCGTAACAATAATTAAATAATGAGTTTATCTACATCAAAGTGTTGTCTATTTTCTAGATATACAAATATTTTTCAATTTATATTATTTTGTTTTCTCGCATAATTTTAATCGACATTTAGTAAAGCACTTGATGGTTTGTGTTGTTCTATCTAAGTAAACTAAAACTATGAGCTTCATTGTAAAGACGTTTGTTAAAGATGTTCGAATTAAACGAGGCAACGAAGGAAGGCAAAAATTTACATTTACATTTATCTAGTTGAACGTAGATGTAAGCATTGCAGGATATTTGATAAGAAAATATTAACTGTTCAGTTACAAAGTGGTTTGAGACTCATTTGAATTGTATTAATTGTCGAATATAAATGAGAGGGGAGAGAGAGAGAGAGAGAGAGAGTCGTGGTAGAACAGGATATCGATCAACATTTCCAACTCATTACCTATAAATTTGTAAATACCGTTCAAGCAAATTATAAGGAAACGGTCGCGAAAGGACTTAAGACTTAAGACTCGTCCAAGCGAAGTTCCATTAGAGAGCTAAAGTAAAATGTTCGGCCCAAAGAAAGTTGCTAATATTATTGCTTTGCAGTTGGATGGTGTCGTCTTGCGTCGCAAACAAGGCTCGACGGCAATTAGACGAAGACCAGGAGCGAGACGTCAATCACGTAGTCGCCTTAGAAGACGTTGCTCCATCAACGGACATTTTTATAATCGGGAGACTAGTTTTTTTACACCGCCCCATGGCTCGCAGATGTCCGTGTGGGTGACGAGTCTCGTGAGCACTCAAGAGGTCATCAATCTCATGCTCGACAAGTACAAGGTTGATGCCAAATCCGACAATTTTGCTCTCTTTATTGTGCGAGATAACGGAGGTAAATTATACATGTACACACACACACACACACACACACACACACACAAACAAACA